CAATCTAGTAATTTATTCTCCATAATTTTCCTCATTAGCCTTGTTATGATATTAAGGCCCAGTTCGGCCTAGAAACTTATACACGGCATTCTAACTCTTAGGCCGCTGAAATTTATATTCCAACGGAGTCTCTTAAATTAATGCAGACGTTGGACCCATATTTAATTTTCGTAATTCTAAGCACCTAACGTATTGGGCTCGTAGGTGCTCATCGAGATGATTTGCTCGAAAAACCATTAAGTTCTTAAAAGAAACTATTTTTCTTGAAAACTTTCTTTACGAATATTTCCGTTAAAATGAGGTTTAACACCATAGTATTTTACTGAAATCACATCTCGGGTTTTTTAATAACCTTTTGTTAAAAACCAATACTGTGTTAGTTTTATTTAGTTAAAAATGTGCAGTTTATATAATCTACGTTTTACTGCATCTTAGAGTCAGATTTCAAAAATTTGTTCTTCGCGATAATTCTTCGTCTCGTCGAGACTGAAACTCAGCCTCTAAAGGCCTCGTTTGGCTGAAAACAGTGGCTGCAGTTTTTTTTTTCGAAACTGTATTGGACAACCTGTCCCGTTTTTGTAAAATGGCTTAAAACTTGCATTTAGAGTTAATATTGGGTTTTGCCACAGTCACAGAAAATTGTTTAAAATATCGAGAACTATTAGTTCAAATTTAAAAATACTGAAAAATCTCGCTCTAAGGTCCTCATTTTCGCATTCAAAGTAACCGGAAAATTTTTCCTCCAACCCAAAATAAGCAACTTAGACCAAACATAAGCATACCACATAATACTAATCAAACTAGCCTCAAAACACACAAAACCAACATAAAACTCACGCGCCCTTATTACAACTTATTTTCTCAAGAACCACAAATTACATATCCTTGATTCACAACTTAATTTTTGGTAGAAAAATATAGGAGAAAGGTTTAGAATTTATACTCTTGAAGAAAATCCTAGGTTAGGCTCCTCCTAGAATACTTGATCACCTTCTTCTTCCTCTAAGGTTTGTTAATGGCTTAAAATTAGAAGAGTATAAGAAAATTTGAGAAGAATATTTCTAAATTTTAAACTTTGCTAGAACATAAGAAAGAGAGGGTTTAGAGTTTTATACCCTTGAAGAAATTGTTGACTAGACTCTTCCTAGCACACTTTGATCTTCTTCTTCTTCTTCTAATGTTTGCTAATGGCTTAGGAGAGTGGGAGAAAATTTTGAGAGACAATGGGTAAGGAATGGCCGGTTTTTGTGTGTGGAAAAGGAGAGAAAATGTGCAAAAATGGCTAACTTAATGCTTGCACTAATGGTCTAATATTTAGAGACTTTTGCTTGATCTCTTCTTAGCTCTTAATTAAGCCTATCAAGCTAGCTTAATCAGCAAAGTTTTTTTTGGTTAATCTCCCCTTGCTTGGCTGGTTGGATGCTTCAAGAGAGAAGTGAAGTAAGTATTCTTGTCAAATAGTTGATTTGATTCATCTCATGATGAAATCTTCTAGCACACTTAACTAACCAAAATTTTGCTATAAACTCCCTAAGCATGGCCGGCCAAGTGAAGAAAGAGAGGGAAAAAAATAATCATGTGTACTCTCCATCTTCCCTCATCATACTTCATCCAATTCTACACATTAACCTACCCCTTGTACTTTTGTCCACTCTCTTAAGTTTTCTTTGAAACTGTTAAAAATTATAATGGCTGTAATTTTCTCATGTATATGTACTGGATGCTAGTTCGTATTGTGCTTGGAGATTCTTAGAATTAAGATTCTCAAACTGTATATGTACTAGAAATTCTTCTGCCTTAAAGTACGGTGAGAATTTATCGATCGAATTTACTTGATCGTAAAACATGAACTTATCATGAAATCTGCTACAGAATTTAGGAATACAGATGTTAATTCTATAAATCCTTCAGTCACAAAATATAACATAATATATATTTTTTTTCCAGGAAAAATCCTTGACTTAAATGCATAAATTGCATTATTTAAATTATGGGATTTTCTTGGTCACTTCATTACAGAAGTTGTTAATAAAGCAATTTGGCTTCAAGAATTGGTTGAAGACTTGGGAGCTGGGTCAGAAGCACAGTTCGGTGTATTGTGATAGTCAGAGCGCTATAGACTTAGCGAAGAATCAAGTCTACCATGCAAGGACGAAGCACATTGACGTTCTTTATCATTTTGTGTGGGAAATTCTCGAAGAATGTGAGTTACTCCTTCAAAAAGTTTCGACAGCAGAGAATCCTACATATATGATGACCAAGGCGGTGACAGCAGCCAAGTTTAAACATTGTTTAGACAGTCAATATTCAGCATATTTAAGTTGGCACCGGGAGGCGCATTTGAAGGAACTATTCTAAGGACACTCATTTGACAATTTCGTCAAGGTAGAGACTAGTTAGTCAAAAAGTATGGTCACCGAAAATGGTGCTGACTTTTTGAAGGTCAATCCAACTGTTTATAGCTGGTTCACGCGTAGAAGGAGAGGTAAAGGCTATAAATATAGGTCTCCCCTCATTTATTTTTGCATCCTAAAAAATTGTGAGCTCCTCCCCTTTGTAAATTTGTAGAAAATTCTTCAGATTTCCAATTTGTGGGCTTTTGTAATTTCTGCTGAATTTGTAATTTCTACTCAATTTGTAATCTTTATTCTCTTTAGTAAACAGAGTGGTCCATAGTGCCCGGAGACGTATGCAATATTTAGCCGAACTCCGTTATCAATTCTAGTATTTTTTTTATTTATTTTCCATATTCAATAGCTATTCTGTCAGATTTGTCCGCTGCGTATAATTTTATTCATCTATATGATACTATTCCTATATATAGCACTATTCATGTGTACGATACTATTCACAATTAATGTTCACGATGAAGTTGTTAATGAGTGGAACATACCCGGTTACCCCACAAATCCAATCTAAAGATTTAGATTGGGTTGAAAATGGTTTTGAATAAGACACAGATTGAGACTTTTTCAATCCTAGGGATTTAGATAGGATTGCGGATTGAGCACCTTCTAATCCGTAAATTCCGCGAATTCAAAACCATATATATGCATATATATAATTTTTTATAATTATATATATATATATATAAATTCTTGACAGCTTTCGTAGTTCATTGAGTACTCCTATGGTGGAAGCATTGATATGTTTTCAGAATTGGTTTCAATCTAACCCTCTCTTATTGGATCTCCACCCACAATTAGAAGAACTTGAGACTTATTTATCCATTGATTTAGATAAATTATACATTACAAGATTATTAACGATTATTTATCCATTGACTTAAAAGCACTTATGCATATCTTTGTTTGGAAACTTATTATGTGTATGTTTTGTTACTTTTACAGAAAACTTAAGTATTACTTTAGAAATTATGGATATTGAATTACTTTACAGTAACAATGAAGATTTCATTTTAAGTTTCATTGAATCTATTTTATTATTGTTAATTGGGTTGTGACAATCTAGACTTTTTTTTTTTTTTTTGCTTGAAGTAACAATTTAGATGTTTATTAATATTTAATGTTGTGTTTATTTTATATGGATGTTTATTAATTTATATTTTAAAGATTTAAATCTGTGATTTCATGTGTCCAATCTGTAAAATCCGATAGGTTCTTAATTAGATTGGATCCAATTTGAAAAGGTTTTAAATCAGATATGGATTAGTATTTTTTCAATTTGCAATTCTAGATCGGATGAGGATGAGTTACTTCGGGCTCCTGAGGGTGAGGAATCCGTTGTTTCGGGATAAATTAGATATGTTAGTTCGGTCTCGGCTTCAGGGAAAAATGACTCTTCAGCCGATTCAGATTGAGAAGGAAAGAGCAGCCCTAGGCGGAGCTTCTTAGGATGATGCCTGTGCTATGATCCATAGGATTTTTTTTTTTCGGTGCGTTGTTTTTCAGCGAATGAAAGAAACCGCGGATTCCACAATTCCTTCATCAGATTTGGGTGCTTTTGAAAGAGCTGCTTCTGCGAATGACTCACGGATTGACCTTCCATCCGTGAATTGAGATATGTGAACACCCCTACTATGAAGCTTTCAATGTGAACTAAACAAGATATTGATTGTTAATATAGACACAATGCTTTCTACTTTCTAGAGTTGCAAAACAATCATAAATCACGTCAAATACATCCCGCATAAATTTATAATGCAGAAAATGTCGAGACAATGAATCAAGACCATCAGTAACAAATTATCATGGCTGGCCTCGTATAAAGTTACCTAGATTAGTATTTTTTTTGTTCCCTTTGCCTTAAAACTTATTTATTTCTTCATTTTAATCATTTTGACCTCTTTCTTATTTTTTTACTCGAGACTTTAACTTTTTTCTCTTTTTGGCTCATTTTGTATTAAAACTTATTTATTTTTCCATTTTGTCCTTTTTTTATTCTTTTTTTATTTGTTTCTCAAAATTTTATTATTATTTTTTTTGTTTTGGTTCCTTTTACACTAAAATTTAGTTATTTCTTCATTTTTATCTTTTTTGACACCTTTTTTTTTCCCTAAAGCTAAAACTGTATTTTTTCATTTTGGTTCCTTATATCCTAAAATAATATTTATTTATTTATTTTAGTCTTTTTTTAACTTTATCTTAACTTCTTACCCTAAAATTTATTTTTTTCTTATTTTAGTTCCTTATTAAGATTTTATATGTTTTTAATAATAACATGACAATTAATTAAGTATAAGTTAACACATAAATTACTTTCGCACGTGGAGTTCAACTAGTTTGATCCTAAAAAAAGTCTATTAATTAAACGCCCTTTCAATAGAAAAAGAAAAAAAAAAAAAAAAAGGGGGGGGAGGGGGCCCTTGGGTCGACAACTACATCGATATTGCATTTAAATATTTCAAGATAAGTAATTATCCCAAAATTAAAGGTACTTCATTAAAAAGAAAAAACTCAGGGGTATGTATCGTATTTTGAGAAAGTCACGGGATACTTATTGAAACCTCTTCTTTGTCTCCTTTCCCACTCCACACCGCTCAAAGGTATAACTCTCTCTCTCTCTCTCTCTCTAGAAATTTCATTCCTGTCTTCTCAACTTTCACCTAAATCCTTCAATCGGTAAGTTTAGGGTTTTATTTCCTTCTTATTCTCTCTGATTTGAGTCTGAAATTTTGAAATCTTTCTACAATCGTGGCTTTCAATCGCTTTTTTCCCTTTTCTGAACAATGCCCTAATTCAAGCCTTTTTTTTCAAGTATTTGATTTGAGATCAGACATGGCAACAGAGCCCAAGGCAGCTACGGAAGAGGCTAAAATCGATCTCTTTGAAGACGATGACGAGTTCGAAGAGTTTGAGATCAATCAAGGTCTGTAATTTCTTATTCATTAACTGGTTTATTTTTCTTTTTTTTTTTGTGTGTGCCTGAAATTGTTTCCCATTGATTCAGAAAGAGCAAGTTAATGGATTTGGTACTGTAAAATTACTTGCTTTTTTGAATAATTAGGTTAAGATGATGATCTGAGATTGGAATTAGGATAAACTCTTTAAGGACATACTAGTTACTTGGAAGGCCTTTTAGCAATTATGTGCCCTAAAATCTTTTTTGGCACTTTGGTCCTTGAAAATGTTTTTCTTGGCAATTTGGTCTTTGAATTATTAAAAGGGAAGCAATTAGCCCCAAGTGTTAATCGGGGTTAAAGTTTCGGACGGAATAATTTTGGCATTACAGCACATTTGTGTTTCTGAATCTCTTATAGTTTGGTACTCTAGTCCTTTTTCTTTTCTTATAAAAAAAATAAATAAAAAATAAAAAATTTGTAAATTTATGCTCTCTATTAGTCATTGAGTTCACTTAACTTCTAAACCTTTTAGTATGTTGATTGCTACCACGTTCAAACAGAGTGTGGGAGAAAACATTAGTGACCCAAATGTCAAAACAAAACAAAACAAAACAAAACAAAAAACAAAAAAAGAGAGAAATTAGGGGGAAAGAGTCCAATCAGATGAAATTCAAGAGGAGAGGTGCTAAAAACCCTTTGTTTGAATGAAAAAAAAATCCGCTTTGTAGTGGAGTATTCTAGCTTTTATTTGTTTCCTTCTTGGTGTGTGCAACAATTTTTAGTCATGTCAAATATTAAATTTTAAGCGTATGTATGCATGATCTCACCCGTGTAGTCTGTAGATGATGACAATTTGCAGTCTTGGTATCTCTGTTTTTTATATATGTATATTTACGCTTTTGACAATTTATCCTCTGCATTATTCACCCATGTCAGAGTTGTTTGCTACTCTGTTCAAAATTTAGTGACCAAACAAACAAACAAACAAAAAAAAAAAAGAAAAAAGGGACTAATGATCCAATCACACAAAATTCAAGGGAAGCAAGTGAGAAAAACCATTTGTTGCAACGAAGGGCTCGTTTGTTTGCTGCGTTTAAACCTATGATTTTGATTATGCTACAGTGTTTTCCTCTCACGAAAAATTTTGAATTTCAAATGCCAACATCAAGAATTACTGGTTTAAACACATGTACCAAACGGGCCCCAAAAGATTCTCCTTCGTAGTTCAAGATTCTCTCTCTTATGAGTTTCTGCCTTGTTGGCTTCTAAAATGTTCAGTCATATAATTTGTATGCTTTTAAGTTTATATAAGCACCTATATAATTCATGATTCTGTTAGTGTCCAAAGGTAGTCTCTTTCTCATATGCTTATATAACAATGACAGAATGGGAGGATAAGGAGGAAGGAAAGGAAGTGACCCAACAGTGGGAAGATGATTGGGACGATGATGATGTTAATGATGATTTCTCTCTGCAGCTCAGAAGGGAACTTGAGAACAACCAGGACAAAAAGTGAGACTTGATTACCTGACCCGAAAAATTCTATCCTACCACATAGTTATTTTGATGTTCACCCATCTAGTTTGCTTAGACATCAGATGTACTGATTTTGGGCCCTTTGGATCAATGAATTGTATGAAATGTTGAACCCTTTCTCTTCAAAATATATTACTAGGTGAAATGCGGCACTTTCCATGCTGCCATACATTTAAAAAAGTATTGCGAAAGTTGTACACATGCATCTTTTACTCTAGACAGAAAGAAGTCTCTTGTTGCTAAATTGATAAATCTACCACCGGGTTTTAAAACTCACGATTTGAAAATCTTCAACGGTGGTATTGAAAAATAAGTTAAGATTGCAAACAAATCACGTATGTTTTCAAGAAGAACTGTAGTTATTTCTTGTTTTTGTTGATTGCCAATCCAAAAAAGTTTTCTGAATGGTTAAGTTACGATTAATGGATTGGTGTGTGGAAATGCGTGCATAGGACTATTAATTGAGAAGATTTACTGATTCAACTGTATGGTTGAGTGCCTCATATGAGTCATATTGGTATATTGGAATTTTTATCTGCTCCATGCTCTTGTTATTTGATGATATCAGTGGAGAATAAATGTGTTCTTAAAGCCAAAAAAATCTTTGCTCGTTATTGACCCAATTCAGTATGCTTAAAATTTTAACTTCTCCAAAGTTGTAACATTTTCCATTAGTCATGGTAACACTGTTCGTACGTTCGTGTAAAATTTAATTTACTCCGGTGTAACACTCAATAAATATAGTTGATTACATTGAGTGTTACGCCAACTTACGAATGATGTCCAGTAGCGATTGAAAAATGTTATAAGTGTGCCGGTTTTGATTGTTAGAAGTAAATTGAGGGTTCGTTCATTTTGTTGATTCAAGTTTGTAATTTGAGTTGAGATGTGATTTTATGTGAAAGTTTTTTACTGTAGTAAAAAAGTTAGATGTGACTGTTTTTGAAAATTTTTTACTGTAGCAAAACTCAAATTTTAAATTCGAATGGGTGAAGTGAACCTGAGTTTTACATGCTAATTGTCGAGTTCTCTCTCCTTCTCCGTAATATTTCTCACGCTAATTGCTAACATAATTAAAACGTACTCAAGAGGCATCGCAAGACTAGCCGAGGAAAAGGAAAAAACAAGGAAAGTGACTAATGACTATAAATATTACTACAAGATATGTGTGTAGAACAATAACATAATAGTAACAAGAATCACGGATACAATCATATTACATGCCTTTCCACACAAGAAAAAGAACATATTACACGTGACAAGCTTACACGAATAAATGAAGTACTAGGACAAACAAAATCGACAAACATAAGAACTTCTAGTTCGACATTAAATGAAGCAAGCGACAGAGTAAATAATGTAATGGGAATTAGGGATTGAGTAGAGAAGACATGCATCACATATAAATACATGCATATATGTATATATATATATATATATATGTATGTGTGTATCATATTGAGTAAACAGCTTCAAGGGCTCTTGGTTGAAGGTGGTGGAGAGAGAAACGGGATGGAGGGAAACGTGGTTGGAATGGAGGGAATGTTGGGAATGTTTGGAAGAGAGGTCACAGATGGTAGAGGGGGGAGGCCCAGATTTGGGATTGTAATGGGCCCCTTGGGCAAAGTAGGCTGAGGTAGAGTAGGGCCTCCTCTTGGCAAGTTGGGCTGAAGAAGTGATGGTATGGTGGGCATTGGTGGCAAGTTGGGCCTTGGGAAATTAGGCCCAGTTATTTGCAGAAGATGACGGGAGGCTACAGTAACATCGATGCTCATAAAAGCAAAAGCAGCAAATAAAGCCAATGTGAAACCACTGAGGTTGAATGCCATATTGTGAAAATCAAAATCCAAGATTTCAAGGGAGAAAAAAAAAAACCGTTTGTATGAGGAAGAATGTGTGAAGTACTTTTCGTTTGTGTGAAGAATGTCAAGATTAGTCTTTGGATGTTGGTTTATATATATATATATATATATATATATGTGTATGTATTGATGGTGTAGTGTAATATTTGTTGTGTATGGATGTTTATGGACTTTGAATTTTTGTATCCGATCAGTTCAACTTTCTTACCTTCTTATTTTTAGAATATGACACATGTAAGTAGGTAGAGCTAAAATGTTTTTATTTATTTATTTATTTATTTTTATTTTTAAAGTATATGGAAGAGATCGGAATATTTTGTTGTTGTATTTGGTTATCTAATATCAATTTGGATGTTTAGGTTAATGTCGACTATTTTGACATCCACTTCAAATTTCTCCCCCTACTCTTTTTCTCCCCCTATAATATACATATTATTTTGTTAGTTTCCACAATCAATTGTGGGCGGAGTGACTCATCGTAGTTTGTCGGAAGCATCAGCCCGTTCATTTCACCATTCGAGTTTTGCTACAGTAAAAAGCTTTCAGAAACAGTCATATTTAACTTTTTTGTTACAGTAAAAAGTTATCACATAAAGTCACATCTTAACTCGAATTAAAAACTCGAATCAGTGAACTAAACGGCCCATTAGTTGGCAACTATCGAAATAATGGAGTCAGAAATTTTTTCAGTGGAGGCACCAAGAAAGAAAAAATAGAGATAATATTTTATTGGAGATAGAGTTATATGTTTCAATTATTATTGAGTATGTAGAATATTATAACTTTCTTCTCGAATAGAGGAACAACAACATATTTCAATTATTCAGTAATGGTGTAATTATAGTTTTTTTTTCCTTTTGTAAAATATAGGCATAATTGTTTTTTTGGAAAAAACACTTATAGGTTTTTTTTTTTTTTTTCTAATTATTTACCTTTCATAAGAATTTTACGGTACGTCATGAAAAATACAAAATAAATATCTTTGAAGGAGAATCCAATGACCAAAATGTAGACCTTGCAATCATGACACTAGTCGTGAACCTTAGGGGTTGCGATCAAAGCTGTGTTGCGAGGATCCACCTTCGTCATTTGTCAAGATTTTCATTCGTTGCTCTTCTGGATATGGTCATGATCAGGAAAGCCCTTGTCATTCTGCTCATGATCAGGAAAGCCTCACTGCACGATACCTAGGGCTTGAGGGATCGTGGCCTTCATCGTGATGGGATTGCAACCTTAATTGTGATGCTCGAAATCCACGTAGATGACCGCCATGGCCGAGCAATCCATGCAATAAACACATATTGCCTTTTCTAATTGATAAGGATTTTTGTCTTGTTGAGATTTGTTAGATTCGTTTTCGGTAATTTATCAGATAGGATTAAAGTCTAACGAAATAAATTACCGAAAGCAGTAAATTAATAGACACAGGGAATTGCTATCGATGTTCGGTAACCATCTATATTTACGGGCTCATGCCTAAACAGTGAACAATCTACTAATTATCAATGATTACAATCACCAATCGGACTTATACACTCAAAAGTCTCTTTTTGACAATGTTGCTGTCATGTCAAATTTACTTGATGGTCTTATTCAGCGAGCACCACTCATCTTTAAAAACTGCACGGTAAAATCTCTTCGGCTGGCAGTAGGCTTCCTCCCGAAAAACGAACTCTACAAATACTTCAAGGCTCAAAAAGTCATAGACGAAAATATCCTATAAAAACCGCACCTCTAGAGAACAACCTTGAGCTCTATTTATAAGCTTGTAAACCTCCATTTATTCACGTTAATCACAAACTCAGATATCCCCAAAAGTTATCTCCACGTTACCTTTTTTTAGATAGTAAGCTGCTCCGATTCAAATTAACTTGTATTTCAAATTCAAGTAGCATAATCCAAGCAGTGACGGAGCAAGAAATTTTTTTTAGTAGAAGCTAATAATTAAATATAAAATTAAATTAAAAGACATCTATTAATATACTACAATTGTACCTGATGAGTTTTCATGTCTTGAAAATGTTGCATAATAACTTCTGAATATGTATTTCTCAATGTACACAAATAAATTGTCTTTATCAATGTACACAAATGTAAATTGTCTTTTGGTTTTAGTTGGGGCTTATTAGTACTAAACTAATGTAATATCTAACTATACATATATATATATATATATATAAATAGAAGGAAAAAACAATTTAGTGGGGTCTTAAGCCCCCACTGAGCTGGCTATAGCTCCGTGCCTGAATCCAAATCAAACTTGGATACTTATCTCCATATTCATCCTTTCACGTCACCAATCACTGCAGCAACTTGATTCAAATCCGAATTTATAAGCAATCTGCACTCATTAACTTGATCTTCACGTTTAAATCATCATCAGCACTTTCAAATTTCAATTGCAAACCATATCTTCAACTTTAAAAATCTGCACCAGTTTTCTGTTCTGTAACGTTATCAGTATCACCTGTTTTTTAGATTTACATCTTGCCAATAAATTGCCAATCTAACAAAAAACCTAACAAAGATTTATTTTATTTTTGTTTGATGGAAGATCACATTTTAAGAAAAATAAAAAGGTTATTTTTATATAGTATTTCTATTATACTAATCTTCAGTGCAAATGTATAGATTTGATTAACTGAGTGTACCACGTAAGTAAAATGACGTGTTACATTCAGTGTATTGAATAATTTCTCATACTATTGGTTTTTATGAAGGATGTGGAGATTTGTCTTTGGGTTATATATATAGATATGGTTTAGTGTATGATGTGGGGGTTGAGTATATGGATGTTTGATTGGGGCAGAAAATGTACACAATAGACCTGTTAGTTCAACTTTCCTACCTTCTGCTGAAACAAAAGTAAATGGAAGTGATTGGAATATTGCTTTGTTGTTGTATTTGGGTTATCTATCTTATCACAACTTTAGAAGTCTAGTAGGTAAATAAGGGATACTTAGGTGAATGGCTAGTACTTTGACATGCACAAAGATTTATCCCCTCCTGTTTTTATTTTCTTTTATTTTTTATGTGATGACTGTAGTATAGATATTATTTGAGTAGTTTCCTTTTTTAGTTTATCACAGTCAGCGGAGTTACTTATCATAGGTGGTCGGAATCACTATAGTGAGCTACTATTGACAATAGCGGAGCAATAAAATTTTTAAGTGGTGAAAGTATGAAATAAGATAAGTGATAATATTTTATTAGAGATATAGTTATATTTATTGAGTATGTTCGACATTATAATATTCTTTTCGAATGGAGGAACAATAATGTATTTCAATTATTCAATGAGGTACAATTATAGATTCTCTTGTAAAATAGAGGCATAACTTTGTTTTTTTTTTATAAAAGTGGGGGCATCAGGCATGTGCCCCACTCTCAATAATTTGTCTTCCATATTTTATAAAAAAAAAAAAAAAACCTTATTGATAAGAATCAAACTTTCAAAAGTTAAGTGGGGGCATCAGGCATGTGCCCCACTCTCAATAATTTGTCTTCCATATTTATCCACTTACATCTTTTTTCTTTAATCACTTACTTTTCATGATAATTTTATGCTAGGTGTGAGACATACAAAATATGAATCTTTAAATTAAAATCCAATGACCCAAAATGATCTTCTGATCCCCATTGACAAAAAAAAAAAAAAAAAAAAAAAAAAAAAAACAAAAAGATAAAACCCTAATTGATGCCAACAGGGTCGTCGTGCTGCGAGACCTGAAAATTGCACTATACGTTCGAAAACCTTAAGTAGGTTGTGACCCACGGTGTGTTGCAATAAACCACCTAGCTAATTCCTTCATTCCGCTTGTAAGGAAAGCCTCAGTACCCCCCACACCATCTAGGGCACGAGGGATTGTAACCTCCATCGCGACGGGATTGCAACCTTAATCGCGACGTTCACAATCCATGTCGACAACGGCCATGGCCAAGCAGTCCTTGTCGAAACATACACATGTGCTTTTTTCTTATTTATAGTAATATTTTTTTTGTTGTCTTAGTTTTGTTCAGATTTATCTTATTTTTGTTGTGAGGAAAATTAACTCGATTTTTTAAGAAATATATAAAAGGTTATCTCGTAATATTTATATTGTGCTTGGGCTGTTATGTATAACACGTATGTCCTCATTGAGACTTCATTTTTCAATAATTGATCATAGGGGAAAAAAACTCTTTATGTGTGCTCATTTGGTAGCATTCTAAAAATGGTTTCTCATAAGTCACATTTCTCGAAGTATGTCAGTTGGTAATAGTTTTCAAATCGCGTTTACTTGATTTTTGTTTTTCATTGAAAATGAAACGAAAAAGAAAGAACTGTTTACATATTTTGTTAAGGAAATGGGAAAATGCAACAGAGTGATCGTTTGTTCTACATTGTTTTCGCTTCTTATGACAAACCAACATATATTTTCAGAAATATAACCAACACACAATTTAATCTTTTTCCTTATTCTCAAAACAATCACTCTAAAAAACAGTTAAACAGTAAAATTTCGTAAACAAGTCCTGCAAAATTCCCAAAAAAAAAAAAAAAATTCATTTTCATTCTTAAACTTTGGTCTGGTGTACTTATCAATATATGTGATTCCTCTCTTTATCTTCTTTTTTCCCTTCAATAAAACGGTAGCTTAAAATCTCTATTGATTCCTCTCTTTTTTTTTTTTTTTTTTTTGAACTGAGGTACAGTATTAGAATTACTGTACACCCCAAAATAGATTCATGTTGTGGAGTAATATCTGCAACCATTATTCCTCTTGCTATCTATTCGTTGAGAAAATGTTTTTTTTTTTTTTTTTTTTTGAATTTTCACGTGTTGAGGGAATATATGATCTAAAGCAGATGAACACACGCTCCATTTAAAATAAAGTCGAATAAAAGTCCACAAACTGGTACAATCAATATAGCAAATCCTTTGTAACTAGCTAAGACACATATAATGTATACAACAATAACCACTCATACCAACTCCATTTTAAACAAGTAGACAATCAAATATAAACCAATATTTATAAATATATATATCTATATGTATATAGGTATCATCATAGCAAAGGCAATTTTATAAAGTACGTGGAGAACATCCTCAAAGGAATGCATGCATGCATGCATGCACGTAAGTGTCTTCATGATCTTCAAGGGCTAGAGGTTGAAGGTGGTGGGGAGAAGAATGGAATGGAGGGAAACATGGTTGGAATGGAGGAAATAATGTTTGGAAGAGAAGTCACAGCTGGCAGTGGCGGGAGGCCCATATTTGGGATTGTGATGGGCCCTGTGGGCAACGTGGGCTGTGGCAGAGTTGGGCCTGAGGGCAAATTAGGCAAGTTGGGCTGAGGTAGAGATGGAATTGTGGGCGTTTGTGGCAAGTTGGGCCTTGGCAAATTGGGCCCTGTTGTTGTTTGCAGAAGGTGACGAGCTGCAGCTTGACCAACATCAATGCTCATGAAGGCAAAAGCAGCAAAGAAGGCCAATGCAAAGCGATCAAGGTTGAGAGCCATATTTGTATCTTAATCAAAATTAAAAATTTTAGAGCAAAGATTTATATGAAAAAAGGATATATAGAATGTACGTTTCGTTTTGTATGATATTTGTCTTTGGGTCTATCATATATATATATATATAGATGGTGATGTGGGTTTCCACCAAAAAAATAAAAATGTGGAGGTTGAGGATTGGATGTTTGGTTGGGCAGAAAATGTACAATAGAACTGTTAGTTCTACTTTCCTACCCTCTTAGTTATTGTTAAGAGATTACACACGTAAGTAAGCAAGCTAAAATGTTGAAAAAGAAAAAAAAGGAAATGAAGGATGTAGTTTTGGAGTGATTGGATTGATTCTTTGTAGTTCTGGTTGGTTATCTAATCTAATCTAATTAATAGAAATTTAGAAAGGTCGTGATAAATAATCGGTATAGTAGATGTTTTGAATAAATTATTAGAGATCCGTAATTTTTTTTTTTTTTCAATTTGTTATTGTAGTCCAATTTTGTCATGTAGCACTAAATAATTGGAAGTTTATTTCAGTTTTTTTTTTTTTTGGTTTGTTTATGTCGTTTTTTGTTTCTAAGCTTTTTTTTAGATCTAGTGTTTAGTTTTTCTATTTCTTTTCTAGTCTTTTGTTATCTTATGTTTATTTGTAATTGAAAAATTCTTAGGGGTACCATTAGCACTATAATTAATAAAATATTTAGACTCAATTTATAGAATTCATACTGTAGAACTCACTTTTTTATTAATATGTGCTGCTCAGCACTATTAATACACCTAACACTAGTATTTCTTTTTAGTTTTATCTTTTCGCCCAAAAAACTCACTTCATTTTTACTTTTCTTGTCTTTGGGGGTAATCATGTCGGCGTCGCCATTCGCGGTAGATGGCCTACATTGGGTATCTTGTGATGGTTGATTATTATGTACAGAATTTGGCGCGCTATTCTTTCTTTTATTGATCGAAAACCATGTGGGAAATGCATTGGTTTGATTGGTTACGATCAACTAATGAGGTGTCGACTGAGTGACCGTTAAGTGTCAAGTAAACTGATAGGTGATAAACGAATATTCGGGTGGTTGACTTATTATGTGTCGAGAACACTAATGGATAACCGAAGAGCAATAGGAAGCTAGTGTTGAGAACGACTACCTTCTAGTGGTAAGTGGCTGCTACTTACGTGTCCAACAATAGTCATGCTCAAATTCGAGTTTAATTGAATATATATTACTGGGATCTTATAAAACATTAGGATGTTTATTTTCTGTATTTGTCTCTGATTCTGAATTATGATTCATAATTCTCTACAGTGTTTTTCTCTCACAAAAAAGACACGTAAAACGAGAATAATTCTGAATCATAGTTCTGAATTTATGAACCAAACGTCCATTAAACTAAGTTTGGTATGAGTTTTTTGATGGTTTGAACCTGTTTAAATCAGTGTTTATTTGTAAAAATAAAAAAGTAGTGTTGAGAACGAATATTCGGGTGATAAACGAATACTAATGGATAACCGAAGAGCAATAGGAAGCTAGTGTTGAGAACGGCTACCTTCTAGTGGCAAGTGGCTGCTACTTACGTGTCCAACAATAGCCATGCTCAAATTAGAGTTTAATGGAATATATATTACTGGGATCTTATAAAACATTAAAGTTTGGTATTAGTTTTTTAATGGTTTGAACCCAAGTTTTGGTTCAAACCAGTGTTTATTTGCAAAGATAAAAAAGTAGTTTGAACTCACCCTAACAAAATTTATGTTTGGTTCAAACCTAATTTGAATATTGATGTGATGTTTTAACCAATCTGCCCCTAAAAACAGCAAAACCAACCCTCCCCTTGGTTTTGGCTGGTTTGAACTACAGGTTCAAACCACACATGGTTTAAACCTAAAGATTCGTGGTCACCCAATTTAAAACTCACATGGTTCAAACCCAAAGGTTTAAAACATCCTGATTTGAACCCTCATACCAAAGGGAGTCTTAATGTCCATAGTAGATTTTCATGGGCTATACATGCTCCTCTCTTTCGCTTCTAATGCATAACAAGAAAAATCATCTCTAGCAGAATTCAAATCACACAATTCGAACCCTCAAACCAAGCGGGATCTTATTTTGAATCAAAGACTTTAAACTAAGGTGATTTAAACTATGATCTAAGGTATTATTTGGTATAAGGGTTTTGAACCCGGAACCATGATTATGGTTCAAACCAGTGTTTCTTTACAAAAAGTAAAAAATGGTTCTGATTTGACTCACCCAGAATAAGTATTTAGTTTGAATGGTTCTAATTTAAGGTTTGAATCTTGATGTGATGTTTTAAACCATGAAGATGTGATGTTTTAAACCATGAATCACTCATAATTCTAAAACCACCCCCTTAGTTTTTGGTGGTTTAAATCTCTGATTCTGATTCGGGTTTCAGAACCATAATTTAGACCCAAAATCATGAATTATGGTTCTTGTTCTAAAATTAAAATTAAAATCACCATAATTTGAACCCTCATACCAAGCGAACCCTAAATGTCATTTGGATCTGCAGATCAATTATATTCTAAATTTATGTTTAAATCGAGTTTTAGAAACAATAATTTGAAAAAGTTTCGTGTTTGATAGGAAATCTTATAAAAAGTTAATGTTTATTTAAAAATTACTATGGCTATATGGATCAAGATTTGTAGATTTGTTCCTTTTTTTAGCTTTGAACACATAAAAAGAAAAATCGCCTTAATCAGAATTGAAAAAGAGAAATGCTGACATTTTAAAGCATGACTTTTTATAGAGGTAGAAAAGAGAGAGAGGAAAAAAAACTTCTCACACCCACACACAAAAAAAACCTCTGCTACTCAATGCATAGCAGCCGCCATATTACATTCGGCGGTCTAAATTTAAGGGATGAATCGGTCCGTTAGATAGTGGCTAACGGACCGTAGAATATCCCTACATATATAATTCTGTTTTGTATGGATTTATATAAAAATATGAGATGTGAGGAATGTTAGCAACACCTGCTTCAACACCTTCTTAGACACTCTCTATTTCCATGTGTGACGCGTGTCCTACTTTTTTTCTCTGGCAAATAGTTAAATTGTGAGAGTGAAGGGCAGAGTCATTCTTTTGCAAGTTTATTACTAGTCTCTCATTTTCTTTCTTTGGTTGGAAAAGTATGGCATTTTATTCACTTTTTACTGTTCAAATTATTTCTTCGTCACTTTACTTTTGACGTTTTTTTTTTTGTTTGCTTACTCCTGTTTTTTTTTTTTTTTCTTTTTTACTTATGTATTTATTTTCACTAAAATTTCATATTCTTAAATATATCATTAAAATACCTTTTTATTTTAATTTATCCCTATTGAAGTAAAGTCAAGTAATTTTTTCCCACTTAAACGTTTTTTTGACACGCAGGAAAATATACAGCAAAATCATTCATAAATATAGGAGAATAATCATATTATAGAAGTTACAAATACAGAAATAAAGTATAAAACAATACTTTCATCACAAACAAAAGTGTATGCTAGACTCATACAAACTCCATAATTTAGAACAAGTAGACAATTGCGTAAACCTAAATATCCTCTAATGCAAAGGAAAAGCCATAAAGTACGTAGAGATCGTCCTCAAACGAATGCATGCATGCATTCACGTAAGTGTCTTCATGATCTTCAAGGGCTAGAGGTTGAAGGTGGTGGAGAGAAGAATGGAATGGAGGGAAACATGGTTGGAAAGGAGGAAATAATGTTTGGAAGAGAAGTCACAGCTGGCAGTGGTGGGAGGGCCAGATTTGGGATAGTGATCGGTCCGGTGGGCAACGTGGGCTGTGGCAGGGTTAGGCCTGAGGGCAAATTGGGTATGTTGGGCTGAGGCAGAGATGGAATGGTGGGCGTTTGTGGCAAGTTGGGCCTTGGCAAATTGGGCCCTGTTGTTGTTTGCAGAAGATGACGAGCTGCAGCTTGACCAACATCAATGCTCATAAAGGCGAAAGCAGCAAATAAGGCCAATGTGAAGCCACTGAGGTTGAATGCCATTTTTGTCTAAATTAATGAATATATATATATATATATATATATCAAGATTTTAGAGCAAAGATATATGTGTAAGGAAGAATATGTAAAGTTCTTTTGGTTTGTATGATGAGGTGGAGATTAGTTTTAGGGCTATATATTTATAGATATGATGTAATGTAGGAGTTGAGAATATATCTGTAATGTTACGGACAGTTTGAATTTTTGTACCCAAGTTAGTTCAACTTTCTTACCTTCTTATTGGAAAAGAAGTAACTTGGAAGTGATTCAATTGTTTTTGTCGTCTGAGTTTGGTTATCTAATATCAGTAAATAAAAATGATTAATTATCTATATATAGTTAACTAAAACTCATTTTGGTGTCTCCTTCAAACATATACAAATAATCTAGACTATGGAGATCTAAATGAGAATAGATCATCTGAGTAGTTGAACCTATAACAAAATGGTAGTTCGAGAATTGATCAATAATATGGCACCCTTAAAACATGCCACACAGATAGTCAGAACAAAATAAGAACCCTACCTTATTTTGAGAATATGGTATGACATATAAGTTAGTAAGTACAGCTAAAATCTTAGAAAACTTAGTTTGGAAGTGATTTGAATGTCTTAGTCGTCATGTGTTCGGTTATCAAATATAAATTAAATAGAAATAATTGTCTCTATATAGTTAACTTCTTTAGGTGTACCACTCATGATTTGAAATTGGTGGTCTTACAGAAAAATAATTTGATTTACACTTACACCTCTCCTTTTAAATGACAAATTAGTTATATAAATAATCTTGACCATTGAGATCCTAATGAGAATAAATCATCTGAGTTGTTGAACCAGGTTTATAAAAATGGTAATTTGAGAGTTGATCAAATAATATGGCACCCTTAAAATATTCAACATGGATGAGTTAGAGCAAAATCAGAGCCCTGGCTATAATTAGTATGAGACTCACATTCTTTTTTCATTCCCTCCTGACACAACTATTTTCTTTTTCTTCTTTTTGAGATTTTCTCTGGCAGTTAATTTTTAGTTGTTGGATCTTGTCAAATTAAATTATATCAAATTAAAAAAAAATATGCAGAACATACATTTTTTTTAAATAAATTTAATAGTTGAAAACATAAACTACTCAGTACATGTTCATATTTTAGGAACTAAACCCTCTCTTTGTCTTCTCTCTCCCCACTTGCCTTCTTGACGCATCTAACTCTTCTCTCTCCCACACACGAGAGTGAAGCTCCAAAAAAAATAAAAATAAAAAATAAAACACAATAAAAAATAAAAAACCATCTAAGCTTAGATAGAATAACGACTATAAATTCAATTGGCTAAACGAAGTTCAATAGACTCAATACAAGAGGGAATTCGTCAAGCCATTATTATTGATAAGAGACGTACTGTTAGTAATTCTAGGCACGTCCCAGAGGCAAAAGCAATGGAGTACTTAAAAACCACTGAGAGACACAAAACTTGAAAGTAATGGTGATGCGGCCGAATGGATAATGAAAGGGATTTTATCGGCCTAATCCGGACAGAGGACGGGACATATAATTCTAAATCTATCTAAAGAGAACCTAGCTCACAATGGAAAAATCCCTAATTTGGAGAGAAAACACAAGTAAAATATTCAATTCTCAAATATTCAAAGTCTTCATCCGATTCAAATAGAGCCTTGCAATCTTCAAATCCCACTACTCCAGCTTGCATGACGGAAAGTGAGGACAGCCGGTGACTAAGAGCATCGGCCACTTTGTTCTGGTGGCCGGCGCGTTGTTTGGACATGCTGTTAAACTTCTCTAAGAATAGAGCCCAGCGTGCGTGCATCCGGTTGACGTTTTTTTGTGAATGGAAGTAACTTGAGTGCTTGATGGTCGCTATGAAGCACGAACTCCTTCTGCACGAGGTAGTGTTCCCACTGCTTCAAGGCGCGAATAATTGCATAGAGCTCTTGCTCATATGTAGACCATTTCTGTCTGGCGTCACTTAGCTTCTCACTGAAGAACTCAATTGGCCTTCCCTCTTGCATCAAAATGGCCCCTACCCCTGTCATAGAGGCATCACTATCAACCTCAAAAACCTTGTCAAAATTCGGTAAGGCTAGAACAGGAGCGGAGCTTAACTTCTCTTTAATAAGTTTGGAGCTCGCTTCTTGTTCTTTGCCCCAACGAAATCGCCCTTGCATCAAACAATCTGTCAAAGGTGCAGCAATTGAGCTAAACCCTCTAATGAAGCGCCTTTAGAATGTAGCTAGGCCATGAAAACTCTGAACCTTGCTAGTAGTTTACGGTGTCGGCCAATCACGAACAACTCAAACCTTCTTCTCATCTACTTGGATGCCATGTTCACCAACTACAAAGCCAAGAAACACAAGCTGAAAGGAAGCGAATTCACACTTCTTGAGATTTAGGTATAGCTTGTTGGCTTCCAGAATCTCCAAAACTTCCCTCAAATAAACCATGTGATGCTCTCGAGTCGGACTAAACACCAAGATATCATTAAAGTAGACCACTATCGACTTGCCGATTAGCCGTTTGAGGACCTGGTTCATGAGCCTCATAAAGGTGCTAGGGGCGTTGCCCACCCGAATGGCATGATAAGCCATTCATATAATCTCTCACGCATTTCAACCGCGGTCTTCCACTTGTCGCGGGGGGGATCCGAATTTGATGGTATCCGCCGCAAGTCCAACTTGCTAAAGAACTTAGATCCCTCCAATTTGTCCAACATGTCTTCAAGCCGAGGAATAGAGAAACGATATTTCACCGTGATCCTATTCACCGCACGACTGTCCATACACAGACGCCAACTCTCATCTTTCTTTGGATAAAAGAGCCGGCACAGCACATGGACTAAGGCTTGCTCGAACCAGCCCCTTTTGGAGTAGCCCAAAACTTTGGTTCCGTTTCCAATTTGTCACCCGAACTTTAAGAATATTTTTCACTTTGCTCCCCTAAAATTTTAACAATTAGTTCAGCTTAATCTCTTTAGATTTTCTATTAAAAGTAGATGGAAAAAGGGGACTAAAACTTTAAAAACTCTCGCTTTTTCTATTTGTTTTTAATAGAAGTTCTAATAGAAAGGCCACTTGATCTTATTGTATTCTTTATTTGTCTCTTTCTAATAGAAATTCTAATAAAAGAACACATGATCATACTGTCTCCCTTTTTCGGTTGTTTATAATAGAAATTCTAACATAGAAGGATTAAATTTGACTAATTTAATTTAAAAGACAAAATAAGAGTTTTTAAAGTTCTAAGTGCCAAATTAGAAATGACACCAACCTTCAGTAATAATAATCCTATTAGTTACTAACTTCAAGTATATATATTAATTTTAGAAATACTATTTATACGATGAATTAATTTGGACAGATTAAATGGTACTTTTATTTCTTTCGTAAATGAAAAATTGAACTGTTAGCTAAGAGAGAGAGAGAGAGAGAGAGCAGTTCTGATAAAGTTGTCACAGGGGCTCATGTCAATATTAAGGGTAACACTGGCGGTCTATTGAAGAATCGAAGGAGGAAATTCAATAGTCGGTTGTGATTAGTTAGAAGATTTTGCTAATTAAATGATACATTGTTTATAATAATATTTTGCCCGAGAGAATTTCAAGAATTCTAGCTAGATAGCTCTCTTTCAACGCTCTCTTTCTCTCCTGTTTATTAACTTTCCTTCCGTACTTTTCTTGCATTCCAAACAGTAATCTTGACTAGACTTAACAATTTTTTTTCCTCTTTTTCTTTTTGTACCCGCAATATAATCTCAGGCATATGTCTCCATTTTGTGTCCCCTTTTATGTCCGTCTAATAAGATTATGATACGTCAATTAATTCATGATTTTTTAATTTAACGTGATATGAAATTTTAATTAATTAATGTGACATTTTAATTGATGTGATATGATATTATTAGAAGAACATAAAATGAGAAAAAAAGAGATGAGAGTTAGATTCGTATATATTATCACACGCAAGATATAAATACATATAGAGCCAAATCAGCTCGTACATATATAGGAGAATCACATTATAAAACTTTTCAAATACATGATGGATATAAAGTAGACAAGAACAATAATCACAAAGAAAGTAAATATAAATATACTCAATACAAATTCCATTTCGAACAAGTAGACAATCACATAAACCTAAGCAAGGGCAAATCCATAAAGTACGTAGATAAGTACTCCCTCAAAGGAGTTCATGCACGCATGCACGTAAGTGTCTTCATATCTTTAAGGGCTAGTGGTTGAAGGCGGTGGAGAGAGGAATGGAATGGAGGGAAACGTGTTTGGAAGGAAGGGAAAAATACTTGGAAGAGAAGTCACAGCTGGCAATGGTGGGAGGCCCATATTTGGGATTGTGATGGGCCCAGTTGGCAAAGTGGGCTGAGGCAGAGTTGGGCCTGAGGGTAAATTGGGCAAGTTGGGCTGAGGCAGAGATGGTATGCCGGGCGTTTTTGGCAAATTGGGCCCAGTTGTTGTTTGGAGAAGATGACGAGCTGCTAGACCAACATCAATGGTCATAAAGGCAAAAGCAGCAAACAAGGCTAATGTGAAGCCACTGAGGTTGAATGCCATTTTTGCTAAATCAATATAAAGATTTAAGGACAACGAAATATGCGTGAAGATTGAAGAAGGATATGAAAGGTTCTTTTGGTTTGTATGATGGGGTGGAGATTAGTCGTTGGGTTATTTATAGATGGTACAAATAGTTTAATGTGGAGATTGAGTAAGGATGTTTATGGACTAATTTGAATTTTTGTACCCAAGTTAGTTCAACTTTTCTTACCTTCTTAGTTTGAGAATATGACACAAAATTCATGCGAGTAAGTACAACTAAAATGTTGGAAAAAACGTAGTATGGAAGTGATTCGATTGTTTCTTTGTTGTCTGAGTTTGGTTATCTAATATATATCAACAGATAAAACTCATTTTTGTGGTCTTTCGGAAAAATATAATTTGAGAATAAATCATGTGAGTAGTTGAACCTATATAAAAGTGGTAATATGAGAATTTGTCAATAATATGGCACCCTTAAAATATGCCTCATGGATAAGTCAAAACAAAATCAGAGCCCGGCTTTCATTTTTATTTTCATTCATAAATACTTTATCTAATAATTTTTATACTATAGACCAGCTTAATACATATGGATGAGTTTCTAATAGTTATATTTTCATCGGTAGTTACCATTAAATATAGAAATTTGATGATGTTGCATGATAAGTATCTAATTTTATCAATTGTCATAATTCTTTTTATAAGTCAACTATTTAATTTATTACAAACGTAAGATCATATCTTACAATTAAAATAACGATACCCATTGATGGATATATGTATGAATCTAAATCTACTGTTTGATTTTTAGCGTCTTAACTAGTGTCTAATTAATTAAATCACACCACATCATCTCATGATAAACACAAAAGAGTAAGTTAAAAAATAATTTAAATTTTTTTATATGACGATATATGATTTGATTGCTATTGAGTTAGTTTGCTAGTGATGACTTTATTTCTAATATGTGATGAGTTGGCATATTGAGTTAGTATTATTCTTCTCTTAATTGTTCGAATTTGACTTAATTAACCTATGTGGATCTGTGCCTTATCTTATTTGGAGCAAGTCTTATAATATGATCAAGCTTCTCATTATATCGTAGAGAAGGCAATCATGTTGTTGATAAATTGACCTGCCATAATATTCCTCTGAATGACACATATTGGTGGTTCCTTATTCCTAATTTCTGCATAGCAAGTGTTTGATTGTAGAGAATGAAGGACCGTCCACGATTTAGATTTTGTTATCAGCCAGCTCTTTAATAGGGTGTTTGGTATGAGAATTCGTGTCATGGTTTGAATCATGATTTGTGGCTTGCTACAGTATTTTCTCTCATAAAAAAGTACACGTAAACCGAGAATAATTTTGAATCATGGTTTTAAATCTATAAACCAAACGCCCACTAAGTAAATATGTACTTTTTTCCATTCTAGTTTGGTTTTCACTGGGTTTTTGCTAGTAGGTTTTTAACAAGACGTATTTAAAGCCTTTTCTGATCTATGTGAGAGTTTACGCTTTATTCTTTGAGTTTAGTTCCCAACTTTATTACTTTTGTTTTTGCCTTTTGGGATATTGTTGGTTTCCTTATTATTTTTCTCCTCTCAATTTGTTAAACTCTTGTTTCTCCTTTTGGGATAGGTGTTTTGTAGGGTGTACATTTTATTTGAACGTTATTAGTCATGTCTTGATATTATTTGTCTACTTTTTCTCAATTTATTGAAAAAACCATCATTATATATTAGAATACTGTTTCCCCCCCAAAAAGAAAAGCATCCAAGATGAACAATATTTTTGTTGTTAAAGCATGCCCCTCAAACTAGTTTGTGTGAAATAAAAAGGGGTGGAGCAGTTCCTGCACATGGATTGTTCACTAGTAAGAGAGACACCTCCTCCCCTTTATTAAAGGAGGTACCACGATAAAATTCTTTGCCTAGGCCTCTCTTGCATTTTTTTCTCCATTTAAAATTTCTTAATGTCGATGTTGAATAAAATTTTAAATTTATTTTATATTTTATTTGCAAGAAAGAATCACCAGTTTAAAATCTAACCAACGATTTGTCACAGACCTATTGATATATACTAATTAACAACACAAGTAAAAACCTGTTGGGATTGTTTAAATATAATATGTACGAATTTGTTAAGTTTTATCACATCTAAAAGCGCCTTGCATTCTTTGCATTTAAGAGATACTCATTTCCAACAGGAAGGGCGCCGCGGGCTTGCGCGGACAATTTTTACTTTTCCAGAACTGGCGCTACAGCGCCCGAAACTGGTGCTGCAGTGCCGTAACGATCAGACACGATTTTAAAACTTGAATTGATACCAATTCAAATGGAAAATGTGTCTCTTCAAGTTTGGTTGTGTCTGTACGTATTAGTGTGATAAAAAACTATGAAAAGAACAAGAAGTGCTGATAAAAAATGTGGAATAATTCTCTACAATTCTTCTCTCTTCTTGTTCAAAAATTTTCAGAAATTCTAAGAGTTCTTGTGTTCTTAGTGTTGTTGTCATTTTGCTTGTGATTAACAACTTGAAGGCTGGTTATATCCTGCGAGCGATTTGTTAAGAACCTGAAGCAATCTCTAACGAGAGGGGGTAAACTACGCTTTAAAGAAATGGTACTTTCTACATGTTTCAAGTCTTCTTTCTCTCAAGATTTTGCAACAAAACCTAGAAAAAAAGGAAATATGACACTGCATGCGTGTTTAAAATCTGTTATGAAATGATTTCTTGCAAAATCGAGGCACTAAAAATGAAATTTTTTCTCAAAAGATGTTGGGTGCATTAATTACTTAAAAAGGAGATGGAAAATTAATTTTTCCTGTTTCTTTTTTCTATGTTAGTTTTTAAAAATTGTAATGTGTTTGGAATTAGTTTCAAAATGATTTTATTTTCAATAAAAAGTAAAAATGAGATTGTTTTGAGAATCATTCTAGGACTGATTTTGAAATTGCGTTTAGTTAGTTTTTTAAGAAATTATTTTGAATATAATAAAAAAATAAAATCGTGTTTATTAATTAATATATTATAATATTATTGATAAGTGCTAAAAATGAAAACGTAAAAGTGAAAACAACTTTAAAATTATATTCTAATTGCTTCACAAAAATCATTCTCACTGTTTTCGTTTTCAAAACATTTACTAAACAAACATCGTTTCGTTTTCGTTTTCATTTTTTATTTCTCGAAATATGCAAAAACCGTTTTCAAAAACGGTTCCAAACACATACTAAAGTTTTTCCTTTTTCATTTTCGTTTTCTTCTCTCTTCTCTAACATTGACTGATGTAACCAGATTGTTGGAAGCATTACAAGTTGTATTAAGTTTTCACAGGGCTCATTTCAATATTAAGGTCATTTTTGTTGTTGCAACATGTCAGAATAATAGCTAGCTATATATATATATATATATATATATATAGTCAGTGCGATTAGTTAGAAGATTTTCCAAATTAAATGATAGATTGTTTAGTTGTGAAGTTCCAGCTATACGCAGAATATTATGCCCGAAAGCATCTCAAGAATTCTGGCGAGCTGTTCTATTTCAACGTCCCTCGTTCTCTCTCTCTCCTCTTTATTTCATTTTCCTTCAGTACTTTCTCGCATTCCAAACAGTAATCTTGAATAGAGGCAACGAATTTGTAAAATTGTTTTTACCCGCAATATAATCTAAAGCATATATTTAATATGTATTATGACACACAGGATATAAATATAGTGCCAAATAAGCTCGAACATATAAAACTTCCAAATACATGAATACAAAGTACACTCGAACAATAATCACGAAGAAAGTAAGTATTACTAAACAAGTAGACAAACACATTAGACCTAAATATTCTCAACACAAAGGCAAATGTATAAAGAACGTAGAAAACATGCCCTCAAAGGAATGCATGCATTCACGTAAGTGTCTTCATGATCTTCAAGGGCTAGAGGTTGAAGGTGGTGGGGAGAAGAATGAAATGGAGGGAAACATGGTTGGAATGGAGGAAATAATGTTTGGAAGAGAAGTCACAGCTGGCAGTGGTGGGAGGGCCAGACTTGGGATAGTGATCGGTCCGGTGGGCAGCGTGGGCTGTGGCAGGGTTGGGCCTGAGGGCAAATTGGGCATGTTGGGCTGAGGCAGAGATGGAATGGTGGGCGTTTGTGGCAAGTTGGGCCTTGGCAAATTGGGCCCTGTTGTTGTTTGCAGAAGATGACGAGCTGCTAGACCAACATCAATGCTCATAAAGGCGAAAGCAGCAAATAAGGCCAATGTGAAGCCACTGAGGTTGAATGCCATTTTTGTCTAAATTAATGAATATATATATATATATATATATATCAAGATTTTAGAGCAAAGATATATGTGTAAGGAAGAATATGTAAAGTTCTTTTGGTTTGTATGATGAGGTGGAGATTAGTTTTAGGGCTATATATTTATAGATATGATGTAATGTAGGAGTTGAGAATATATCTGTAATGTTACGGACAGTTTGAATTTTTGTACCCAAGTTAGTTCAACTTTCTTACCTTCTTATTGGAAAAGAAGTAACTTGGAAGTGATTCAATTGTTTTTGTCGTCTGAGTTTGGTTATCTAATATCAGTAAATAAAAATGATTAATTATCTATATATAGTTAACTAAAACTCATTTTGGTGTCTCCTTCAAACATATACAAATAATCTAGACTATGGAGATCTAAATGAGAATAGATCATCTGAGTAGTTGAACCTATAACAAAATGGTAGTTCGAGAATTGATCAATAATATGGCACCCTTAAAACATGCCACACGGATAGTCAGAACAAAATAAGAACCCCACCTTTTTTTTTTTTCTTAAATTTTTTATCTAATGAATGTTAATACTATATACTATATACCTATACTATATATCATGTAGAAGAGATGAATTTATTTATTTATTTCATGTGGAAGAGATGAATTTATTTATTTATTTATTTTAAAATAAAGAAGATGAAAGTGCATCTTTGGGCATTAATATCTTGAGCTACAAGGATTTTTTTTTTC